GCCCTTCTATGAAAGGTAATGTAACCATCCATACAGTTTATTAAGTAATGAATACCCTTCTATGAAAGGTAAGGTAACCATCCACACAGTTTATTAAGTAATGAATGCCCTCCCACGGGAGATACCCACCCACTGAGTCATTCAAAGAACACGGACACGACAGGAAATACATCGTCCATAGAGTCTCAATCCGTCTGTGTGTCGCTCATCAAATGCTAAAATTTAATGCTATAAGCCGGAAGATTTCATATTCAGCGACTGATGTTCTAGTTTAATTCTCGTCATATGTTTTCTCATCTTTACAAACGACTCTATCGTGCGAAACAAAAAACGTTCCCGACGCAAAGTTTAACATCGATTATTTTTAGCTAACGGCTTTTTTAGAGTTAGAGTTATAGCATTATAGTTTATAAGTTTTCGAGCCGTATTCAAGAACGCGTTTTAGTGGGCACGCACTGCACGTGGCTTACATATAGTACGTTGCATGCGAAGAAAACAGCCAAAACATATATCTTCGAATTTTTCAAGAATTATTTAATAATAATTCAATAACAGCAATGGTTTTCTGTCTGCGTATAAACGCTACCACACCGGTATGAGTCATTATGGTAAAAACAACAACAACAAAGCGATAGCTTCTGAAAAGCATCTAGTTGCATCTAAATCCGTTTGTGGTGGTTAAAAGTCAAATGTGGGTAAACTAGGCTGGGAGTGAGAATCTGGTGGCCGATAATACTGTCATCAAGGACATAGCCATAGTCAGCACGACTGGCATCGATGTTCTGTGCTCTTCGCACTATAAATTACTACCCATTATTATGATTATCATTATTATTATTTATGTATATTACTACCAATTTCCACCATTCGTACATTCGTAGCCGGTTGTCAAAAGATGACGTACGTGATACTTAGTTAGTGTTCGCTCAACGTTTCATAGCAGACGTTTGGCCTTTACAACGAAACTCGCTCGTCCACGCAAAACGCTCGAAACTTCAGCCAACGACGTCTGACTAACAGTAATCGGAGTCAGTTAGGCGACAGATCGTTACAATATTGCTCACGTCAGGTGGACAGTTTAATAAAAAAAATCAGATTGCGCATGAGACTAGCTAGTCAATCGGAAATGATGCGACGTATGAATGTTCGACTGAGTGAGGTTGTTCAAGCGGGTTAGCGTCGATGCCATGGCCACCACGTACACACGCGTTGTCTAACAACATCTTTCCCGAATACGCGACAGACGAAGTAGAGCATAGTTCTTCTAAACCCCTCCATACACGCAGGAGTTTCACGTAAATGTATGTGTGTAAAAAAAAACATACACAACGATTATTTTAGAGCAGCACTATTATTAGTATAGTAATTAATATTATACGATTACTATAATAAACACATATCAACGTGCGCATTAGCATACTGCACAGAGTGTATTATGTGATGGCTTTAGCATAGAGCTATCTTTACCTCCGACAAGGAGGTTAGGTTTTCGCCCCTGTTTGTTTGTTGGTTTGTCTGTCAACAAGATATCTCAAAAAGTTACGGACGAATTTTGATGGATTTTTTTTGGACGGGTTGGTCTTGGGCCAACAACCAATCGATTAGATTTTGGTGGTGATCCGGATCCAGGATTTTTGTTTTAAAATGTAAAAAAAATTGTGTGGGGAAATCGTGGATCTTTTTTTCTTCAAATTTCTGAAAATTTCATCAAACTATATTGGGTGTACCAGCAAGATGGGAGGGACTGTTACGCTGTGGCAGAGGTTTGCTATCTCCGATTGCTCTTGTTATTTATATTATATATTTATTTTATTT